GGGGGGGGGGGGGGGGGGGGGGGGGGGTAGGCAGCGGTGAGCGGTGTGCGTGTCGATCCTACTGGCGGCCATACGTACATGGCATTCCCCTTGTCTTTCGCCACTTCTCTTTCTAAGTATATTTGGGTTAGTGAATGTTTAGGTCGTAGGCTTTAATACGCCAAACGAAGGTCGGATCTTTGCCTTGGAGTCCCTGAACGTGTTAGTAAGCACCAAGACATTGGCGATCTAATCTGTTATATCTTGTGGCAAGAACTAAAGAACTAGTGATAATGGCGGCGAATATGCAGGTGTTGCTAGTTTCGAGAGTAAGTTTCAAGAGTAAAACGAATGCAACTGGATCTGTTTCTGCATTAACTGTATGTGCTCCAGTAAGGCGTCTCTGTCAATATTCCTAACCATCCCCTTCGTGTGTCTGTTTAATGCTACCAATTCTAGCCAGAAGCTCCAAAGATCCTAACCAGGAAATGAGTATCAGCAACCCGCTCTCCCTGCACCTTCCCTTCCGTTGTGTTTATTGGCATGAAATGTCTTTAAGACACCCTATAAACCCCTCATAAACTCTTTCTAAACCGTTCTTTGACGCCCTCCTCAAAACGTCTTTAAGCCCACACTTAACCCACGCAGAGACACACGAATGAGCTTTTTAGCTGTGGAAAGGCAAGTAGAAGGGGAACAGCTCCAGTTCAAGCTCCCCTTTTCTGACGCTATAAATAAACCGTGCTAAATAAGGACATGCTGCAGTCGATCTGCTTGACGGGTTGAGAAAACATAATGCATGCATCCAGACATTTGTGCAGCCATGCACTCGTGCAAAGAAATGGTCTAGTCTTTAAATCAAAGAAGGAAACTAGTAGTTCTTCAATCCACGGGAATGCGAAGGAAAACATCGCAAGAACGAAAACATTCTCTGAAAAAAGCCAAGAGTTTCAGGTATATGCGCATACACATCACAGGCCGTGCCGGTCTTTCTCCAGCTGTAGCCCTGCTCGCCGGGCCTCACATATAATAAACAAACAAAGAAGTGAGTGGATGAAGCCGACAGCCCAAGGACAATAATAAGACAAGCAAACATCTACTTGGGTGTATCGACACCCTAACAAATCAACAACACCCTGCTTGCCACCCACAGAACTCCGTATTTGCAGCATACCGCATTTTATTTTCTTCATCAAATTTCGTTTCTGCATTTGCAAGCAGACGCCAAAGTCCACTTTATAAGACAACAGAAACAATAAACACAAATTGAATTAAACAAAAACTAATTACTATAATTACTACAGTACTAGTATCCAGCTATAAACACTCAATCCGCATGCATGCAAACCCTCAGTAACGGCCCTGCTGGTAATAGCCACCCCGTGGACCTCCCCCATGCTGGGGAGGGCCCTGCCAGCCTCTGCCGCTCGAGTACGCCTCCTGCCACCGCTGCTGCTGCTCGCTTCCTCCATATTGACGGTTTGAATCATACATTCCGTGCTGCTGCCGCTGCTGCGCATAGTAGTTGCTGTCATACGCTTGCTGCTGGCCGTAGTACTGCTGCTGCTGCTGTTGATGTTGCTGGTAGTGGGAGTCGTAACCCTGCTGACCTCCATAACCGTAACCCCCATGCCCACCTGAATAATACCCTTGGCCCCCGTTGCTGCTGTTCCGCTGCTGCTCGTTCCAGCCTCCTTGGTGGCCCCCCCCGCCCCACTGCTGCTGCTGTTGGCCGTGAGCTCCCCAGGTACCTCTACCCCCTGGTTGTCCCCCTTGGGGGCCTCCAGAAGACCAAGAAGGATAAGAGGCGCCCTGGGGGCCCCCATGCCAGTTCTCTCCTTTATGCCTTTTCGCTGCTGACGCGTCCATGTCGCCGTACCCGCCCCGTGCTTCAATGTGAGGCTTGGGTTGTCGGTTGTTCTGAACAAGGAAACAAACACACGAAGCGATCGGAGGTGTCTATACACCACAGCCTTCAATGCATGGAACGACCCCACATTTAGGGGTAACTGTCAATTAAATTTCCTCCTTCCATGTGTTTTATTGATTTGTCGTTATAAGAGCAGACAATATCTGCGCAAGGATTATTATTATTACTACATCTCCTTACCATTCCTGGGTTGTTAGCCTTAAAGGCTCTTCCCTCGTCATTTATTCTTCTTATTTCTCGGCGACTTTCCGCTTCTGGCATTTCTACGTAGTCAATAACAGTAAACCCATCGTCAAAAGAAGGAAGTGCGAATGCCGCCTGTGTCGCGCACCCACACACAGCAGACACAAGGAATAAGCCACGCAATGTAATGCCTTTAAAAAGCAGGAAACAACCAAATAGAAAATACTGCACACATGCGTTCCAGCGTAGAGTAGAAGAGAGTGGGAAATTGGCATGCACGTGTATTTCCTTCCCTCCCCTGCCTCCCCTTTTTCTGATGCCTGCATTTCTTTCGTGTTTTCGTTCTTTCTTGAACCCTGTGCGCCCTTTGTGCCATCTGCCGTGTTTTACCTTCATATCCATTACTGCCGATACCGGCACCATCTTCCCTTCTTCCCGTTCTCTCTTTTGCGTGCGCTGTTGCAGCGTGTGTTCGTCCGTCACCATCACGACGCACCGACGCACACCCCAGCCTGCAGCAGCAGCGCAAAGAGGGGCAGACAGCAGCAGAAAACAACAGTTGCAGGGAAGGAGGGCAGCGGGATGCGAAAAACAAGTTAACAAGGGGGAAAAACAGAAATACAGAGATCGCAACTGAATCCTGCCATCCTCTAGTGTTTGGTCCCTGTGTACTTAATATTATCCCGTTAAAAGAAGGGCAATCGCTCATGGTCTACTGTTCTGAACGTGTGGGGTGTGTGGGCTGAGGTGTCTATACAGCTGGTGCGTACCGAGGAATGGCTGCACTTTTCTCGCTCTTGCGCGTTTGAATACATTTGTTTGATCAATGATGACATTTCTTGGGACATCTCCTGTGCCTGCATATGCTACGAGGCTATTAAATACTTCTGTGGCTGTTGACATAAGTTCCTCCCATCGATTTGCATAATTAGCCTGTCTTTTTAGCCCCATTACTTTCATTTGATCAATAACTGCATTCGTTCCCAATAATACGTACGCCTTTTTCGGGTGTCTCTCCATGTGCTTCTCTATCCAGTACGTCTTCCCGCACGCTGGCAGGCCGCACATCATTATAAATTCGCACTCAGCTACAGTCTTTGGGTGTTCAACAGGGTTAGGCACCAGATCCTGCGCCGCAGCAAGCACCAAGTAAAGGAGAAAGAAACACAGCTGAAGCAAAATAACAGCAGCATAGGAGCAGGGTTATATGAGGAACGAGGGTTGATAGAAGGAATAGTTTCGTTAGTAAACAGCTGTTGTCCCCATAGACACGACGGTACAAAAGAAACAGAAAAAAATCATTAAAAAAAGACAAATCGTATCTAAAGAAACAGAAAGAATATAAGAAGGCGTTAGTTAAGATGTACAACCGATACAGTTCGTGGGTTCTGGTGCTGCTGCTGTTGCTGCTGTCGCTGCTTTTGCTGCTAACCTTCTCAGGAAGATCGCCTATAAACTTGAATTGTGGTCCTGGTGGATTAAAATATTTAGTAGATTCACAGAAATTAACGGTAAAATCAAAGTTTTTAACATAAATATGAGGAAATAGACCAGTCTCACGAACAGTAGGTGGTAATTCAAATGCTGTACCTAAATATTGGGTATTTTTCTGGAAACTTATTGTTAATGCATCTAAATCTATTGCTACACCTATTACATCTCCCTCACCAAATGAACAACCATAATCTAAATATCGTCTATTTGTTGACTTCTTTCCTGTACCACCAAAACCCCACGACTCCGCTGAATCCCCTATAAAAAGAAAGAAGAAGAAGCAACATAATATACATACACATAATAATAATAATAATAATAATAATAATAATAATAAACAAGAAAAAACGAAATGTAAACAAAAAGACAAAAAAGTAATGAAAGACACATACAGACAAACAAAATAAATGGCAAAAGGGCAAAATACAGGAACATTAACATAAACGACACATAAAAAGCAGCAGACAGTAGTTAAGAGCAACAGCAGCAGCAGCAGCAGGAGTTGCTTATTGTCCTAAGTAACGTACCTAAATGTAGACTTGTAAGGGGTTGACTAACACCAACACGGCAAACATGTTGTGTACTAATAGGAGTATCGGGCATAACAACAGGAGCAGGCTTAGGACCAACAAATACCTCAAAATAATATTTCCCTCTCCCTTTTACACCATAAGAGGAACGAACTCCTTTCCACATATATTGAAATCCTCCTTTATGCATGCACGTTGCTTTTAAGGGATTATTCTTATCTATTTGTAAATCTAAATGCGAATCTGCAGCATCTAAATATACTTTAGGGTAACCCTTGGGGGGCCCCGAGGGGGCCCCCTTAGCGGGACCCGTAGGGGACCCAGATGAAGCAGTGGGGAGGTCATAAACTATTTTGGGGAGGCCGTTAGCCAACAGCTCTTTCCCTCTTCCCTCCTTCCCGGATTCAGCTGTCTGTACACCCCCTTTATCGGTTGACGATGAAGCTGAAGCAGACTTTGATGAATCTGCTGCTGCTGCTGCTTCTGCTGCTGGTGCTGTTGCTTTTGTTGCTTCTGTTGTTGTTGCTGCTGCTGCTTCTGCAGGTGTTTTTTCCGCGGTGTCTTCTGATGCAGGCGGATCCTTAGTCTTCTCCTCTTCTGCAGACGATTCCTTAGGCTGCTGTGTATCTGCAGCTGGACTCCCGCCTTCTTCTGCAGATGCTGATGATTCTTTTTCAGTCACTTCCTTCTCCTCTACTGCTGTCTGGGTCTTACCATTCTTCTCTTCGTTCCCTGCGGCAGCAGAGCCCGTCTCAGCAGTGACTGGCGGCACCATTTCGCGTGTCTGTACAGATGAAGGGCGCTGAGTGGTTGTTACAGTTGTACGTCACTAATAAGGGTCTCAACTGGCCACTGCAGCAGCGGCGGCAGCAGCAGGAGTAGCGGGAACGAGGAAAATGAAATGCGTCAGCGGCAGTCAATACGCCGAGACTGTTCGACAGTCTTGGGTGTGAATAATCAACAATTTTCTTGCTAAAAAAAAAAATGAAATAAGATGAAAAATGATCAGAGGATCGTCTTTTAAGTGTATGTGCAGATCGAGAACGGAGAGTCTGCTGCTGAGGCTGTAGCCGACGAGGCACAAGACTGGCAACTCCGACTACGAAGTGATGTTTCGTTAGAAATACATGAATACTTGTATTCTCGTTGGTTCAAGAAGAGAATAACAGATGAAGTTATGCACAGAAAATCGAGCGGTAATACGTCTTTGTATGCATCCTGCTGCTCTGCGGGGGCTTCCCAAGGGAGGCTACGGGGCTCTTGAGTGCATGCAGTGTTGCTTTGGTTGAAGTTGAATGATGAGGAATATTCATGGGAAAGTTTTTCATTGGAGTGTATGGGTAGTTTCGAGTTTACATTAGGGGGAAGGAGGACTCGTGTTCAACAATTGTTGTGCTGAGCACATCACCAAATTCTTCCGGGTGTCTGTACATACACCACAACTAAATGGTTCGCTTTTTCAAGTTGGCAGATTTTTTGCTTTATCTGTTCGTCTTGAAAGTACGTTATGACTGAGATTCTGTATATAAAACGGTCAGCCGACTTGTTGGTGGCGGCTTCTTCCGTTTGGTGGTACTTTCCCTCTTGCCAGAGGCGGTGTTGAACGGCTGCCTTTGTGCATGATAGCGGCATTCTGGAGCCCCTGAATTCAGCTTTCCATAGTTCAGAGTATTCCATTGTGATCTAGGCCGCCCATGAGCTCAGCAGAAGCAAAAAGTGTTGCAGGAGGCAACAGAACTCCTGGTACCGGCGGCGACTTAACAAGCGCTGCGGGAGGACCTGGTGGTGGGGGAGAAGGTAGAAGCGAGGCACACGGAGGTGGCCCACCTAATTATTTATTTTCTACAATGGCATCTATGTTTCTAAAGGGTAGTGAGGAGGAGGAAGAAGAAGAAGAGGAAGAAGAGGAAGAGGAAGAAGAGGAAGAAGAAGAAGGATGGATATCATGGTTCTGTTCTCTTGAAGGACATGAATGTTTTGCAGAAGTTGATGAAGAATATATAAGAGATACATTTAATCTTTTTGGATTAAAATCTTCTGTTAATAATTTTGAATCAGCTATGGATATGATATTAGGCGATGCACCTAATGACGATGAACTTCGTGATCCAGCTTTTATGGATCTATGTCATGATGCTATTGATCTTTATGGTCTTATTCATGCACGATTTATTATTTCCCCTCGCGGGCTTCCTCAGATGGTGTGTATGTACACCTCAATACATCAATATTATGTTAAGACAATATACAGAGAGAGGAGTATTCATCTTTTTTTCTTTTTTATCTAGACATAAGATGCACATGGATATTTATGTATTATGCGTATTTATCTGCTTATATGCATCTTAAGGGTCATGTCTATATATGCATATCTGCTGCTTGCTTGTTCTTTTTTCTTTTATCTACATATATTGCATTAGTGCATATGCGTGTGTGTGTGTGTGTGTGTGTGTGTGTTGTTATTATTGTAAATACAATAAATATTACCATTGCTATCTTTTGATTAGCAATTATATTCGTTATTTGCTCACATATAAGCAGATATATACACGTAAAATGTGTTAATAATAGCAATAATAATAATTATTATTATATTATTATTATATTTATTAGTAAAAGGGCGTGTCTTTATATATAAAAATATGTTTATTTATTTATTATTACTTCTGTTCATCTTTGTCTATTGAAATGAATTTTTCTGTCTGCTTTCCTTTTATTAATTTTGCATTTTATTTTTTACTTTTATTTTATTTATTGTTAATAATACATATTTATATATTTATATGTATTTTTGCTGCAGCGAGATCGTTATATAGATGAAGTATTTGGGCACTGCCCTCGCGTTCTTTGCGATAGACAACTTCTTCTTCCTATTGGTTTATCTCCTGATCTACGTGTACATAAAATGCAGGTAATAAAAATAAAAAAGAATTATATAAAGAAATATATACAAAATATATATAGTATACGTATATATAATATTTGTATATGTATATATCCTTAATTCGTAATTGCTATTTGTGTTTGTGTGTGTGTATGTGTGTGTATGTGTATGTGCAGCTTTACTGCCCTTTCTGCCAAGAAGTATACGATATGACATATGCTCATGAAAGAACAGAAAACATCGATGGCGCATATTTTGGTCCTTCTTTCCCCCATATCTTCTTGCAGACTTACTCCAACTTGGTTCGTTTTTCTTGTATATTTGCGGTGTATATACACATAGTTTTAGCATAGTTACGTTTAATTTAGCGTTTATTTGATTCATTATTAATAATATATACAACAAAAAGACTTTTGCCATCAATTTAAACCCTCAGACAATTCCGTCAGGTTTCCACTCAAGAAAGCTGCAACAGCTTTCTTGCAAGTTATTCAGGTGTACGTACACCTGAATTTGAACTTTGTTTTTTGATTTCTTTGATTTTCCCTCCGCAGGTGCCGGTAGTCCCTCCCATTCCTTATCAGCCTCGCCTATTTGGCTTCCGCATTCACAACAGACACTCCATTATTAAAATCAAGAGAGAGAATGTAAGATAAATACTTGCATTCGCATGCACGGGCTGTAGTGACAGTGGAGTCCTTGTATCTTAAGCCCTTATCCATGTTTTTGTATTATTTGCATCTGTTTCTTCCCTTTGTACGGGTTTCTTCTCTCTTGAGGAGGCAGGCAGGGGAGGTGGGGTTTGTTGCCCTTGTTTGTTAAGTTTTATTTGTTTTCTTCTTTTCTAATTGTTTTCTTGTGTTCTGTTTTTGTTTAATTCAGGGGGAATACGGCAGCAGCTACATGTCAAGCAGGAAGCGTGCCACACCAGCTCTCGCTGGCGGTGACGCAGGCTCTCGCGTAGAGGAAGAAGAGGAGAAAGCAGCGGCATGATGCATGCATGCATGCATCTCTGCATGCATGCAAGAGGATGCATGCATGTATGTATGCATTACATTGCGTAATAATGTATAATGTGCGGCACATGTGTTGCACCACCATATCCAACGCATCTCATGCATACATACATGCATATGCATGCATGCATGCAGCTGCTGCTGTTACCTCATGTCTGCTGCGTCGCTGCTGCATCATAAGAGTAGCTCTTAGGGGCTGTTGTGTGGCTGTTGCAGCTGTTGCAGCTGCTGCAGTTGCTGCAGCTGCTGCAGCTGTTCCATAAAAATCTGCGCATGCATGTTATTATGAATAGCACTGCATGCAAATTGAATTAATTCCTCTAGTGTACGTACAGCTGCATACTCTCGCCAGCTGCGAGACAGAATGCCGTCTTTATTATTATTATTAATGCGGCTTCTTTCTGTGGGTTTAATGAGGGGGAAAAACTCTTATGATTAATACGTACAAAAAATAAATAAATAAATAATAATATAAATATTAATACGTACAATATATATTAATAATTATTAATATTTACATAAAAATAGATATTCATGCGTACAATAATCAATAATAATATTTATTTAGCTAGTATTCTCCCTTCTCTCTTAGTGGGCCCCACAGCCTACTGCATGCAGACAGCTAATGATTATGGGAATTATTTAGATAGCTGCGTACTAACAAGCTGTATATATATATATT